GAGTCCATCCGTACTAGTCAATTAAAAAATAACCGATTTTTGAGTTTCCAACTTGGAGCTCCGACTCGAATCATGGTTCTCTGGCGACTTTCCATTCAAGTTACAAGGTTTTGGAGAGTTTAGAAGAAACTACACAACTCGCCAAGGCCTCTAGCTTAAGTTTGAAGAGAAGCCAACGTGTAGAAATGCGGCTTGGGATGTTGGAATTAGGGCTGAGACTTTCGAGCCATTTTCAGTCCATTTCAGTCCACTTTTTGAACTTTCAAAAAGTATAAACTTGTTCTTCTCTTTCCAAGCTTCATTTCCAAGTTTTAAAGTTTTAAAGATAATCCGGCAAAATTTTCCAGATTTCAACGAACCAGATGGCGGCGACGGACGGCGGCGATGGTGACCAGAGATCTGTGGAAGAAGGAGAATATTCCGTTAAAGTTGGCGAAATATTCTCATGCTGTTAAGGTAACACCATTAGACTTAACAGAATATTCCGTCAATTTTGATGGAATATTCCCCTGGAACCTGCCAGCGCGTGCAGGCGCATGACTTGCATGTGGCCGTAAGCTAGCAGTGCGTGGAGGTGCATGCCGCTTCATGGTAGTGCGTGGTCAATGTGTATGGGTTCATGACATCGAGTAAAATGTTTTCGTATAGTTAAACCCCTCGTTTGAGCAAACTATGGGGGATTTTCCTAGCCTTTTATTGTATGTTTTAATTAAATAATTACTATAGTTGTTTCACATATAGGAGAAAATTATCTTGATGAGCTAGGAGGTTACGATCCGGCTACATATCAGTGAGTGGGCATTTGTTTATATATATATATTATATAAAGTTTTTATGGTTTCCGCAAATGCTTTTGGATTTAATATTATGTCTGTCATGCCATGTTTTATTTCATTTTAAAAGTGCTATTATATTGTTGAGATTTATAAATTGTCATTGCCTGTTTATATACATTTTACCTGCTCATCATGCATCCAAGGATGGCCCGATACCTCGAAAAGGTATGAGAGCAACTAGCGACGTTCTAGACATACACACTCACTTAGGTTTCACGAGCAGAAAATGCCCACGTAGATGCACTGGCAAGCCTAGGCTCTACGCTAGACCATCAGCTCAGGCGCTTCATCCCAGTCGAGTACTTGGAAAAGCTAAACATAGATGAGGAACCAATAGTCAAGGTGGCACAGATTAGCACAGCCCCGAGTTGGCAAGATTCCATCATCGACTACATAGTCAATGGAACACTCCTTGCAAATATATTGTAGTCTAGGAAGCTCTAAATGAAGGCAACACGCTACTACATGTGGAATAGCATGCTCATTCGAAGATCTTTTCCAGGACCATATCTTGCTGCTTATCGCCTCCCAACGACCTGAAGATTCTTAGCTTAATCCATGAAGGCGTCTGTGGAAACCACTCTGGAGGCTGTTCCTTGGCGTAAAAAGCTTTCAACGCTGGCCATTATTGGCCAACCATGCATCAAGACGCTAGGGAGTATGCACAAAGGTGCGACAGCTACCAGCGTTTCAAGCCTATGCCTTCACTAGCAGGACAGGAATGAAGCAGTTCACTTATCACAGATAAAGGTAGTTGGGACACGCAGCTCAGGAGAAGAGTCAGACTCCCACTCTCCACTCACCTCTAAGGTATCTCTTGCCCACTGATGGTCACCTTTGCTAGATGCATTGAATAGCCTATGGCAAGATCTCAGCTGCCCCACGCCTTCCTTATGGCCGATCTCAAAGAAGTACCAAAACTCATTTATGGTCAAGCCAATCTCAAAGAACTTGTTCAAGTTTGAGAATACCACCATCGTACGAACTGCATTTGGGGAGCACTGAGCAGGTGCACATTTCATGGAGCAAATCACCTCCTGGAAAAGACGTGGTATGGGAAAAGTAAATCCCAACACAAAGTAATATGGATGGAATTTGATAGCTCTCTTCCTGGCAGAGGTACCCTTTCCACATAATTCATGGCTGCTATCATCCTTCACCCACTTGACGCAAATACTTGATAGAATCGCATGCTTGTATGCCTGAAGAAAATCCTGAAACAGCTTGTCGGAATTAATCTTGACATGCGCAGCCTTGAAGTAACCCACCTTGCCGAGTGAACCACCTTGACGATACAAAGGTGGAGGATATTCGTCACTATTGTGATCGGAGGAAGACATCTCAGAGTCTCTGCAAAAAGTATGAAGAAAAAATATATATTTAGAAGGCAGTTTGAAAAAAAAAAAAAATAGAAAAAGATGAATGCGTGTGTATATATATATATGCCTAAGAAACACAGCACGGATGCGCCCCAACAGGAAGGGAGCCCCACACCTTCTTCCTCTCCTTTCCTCTATGCACAAGGTGCCCCAGGAAGAAAACCCAGGCCTCACGGCCCAGGTCCCGCGCATAGAAAGGTTGGCCCACGCCAATCTCTCTCCTTCTCTTCCCACTGCCAAGGCACCAACACATGAGCTTTGGAGACCCAACCCAAGTCGGTCTCCCCATCCCAGCCAACACCCTTGTCGCACCACCTGCAGCCCGTGGCCTCTCTGCCACATCATTCATGCATCCTTGGCATCCACCAAGCCAATTTTTCAAGCCCCAAGGCTCCTAAAAATTCAAGAAGAAGAAAAAATTCAAAATTTTCTTACCTTGGTGCGGTACGAAAAAGAAAAAGAACAACGAGAAACGACCCTTTGCAAGGGCAAGAAAAGAAGAATACTAGGGGAGAGGGAAGAAAAAAAATATCCTCTGGCTTCTCCTTCTTATTGGAATAATAATTCTTCTCCAAATTTATTTAATCCCCTGCTTAAGGGAGAATTAAATAGGTGTTGGGGGCAATTATTTTCCTTTTCCTAGAAGAAATCTATCTCCAAATCAAGGAAGAGTATCAAGTTCAAATTGGGTAACAACTCTACAAACCCAAGTAGCTTGGGATTTCAACACCTACTGCCCTTTCCATGTGAGCAACACATTAGGTGTGGGGGCATTTGTAGAGAACTCTTTTCACTTGCCCAAGTTTCTTCACTATCATTCTTACGCTTACTCACATGAAACTTTTTGAAACAATCAATTGGGCTAGGTTCAATTCCACTACAACAAGCTATTAAGATTAAAAAAAATAAAATTTGTCAAATAAATTTTAAACATGCAAGAATGACGGTATGGAAACAAAACATAAACATAGTATTTTTACCTCATCTTTTCTGTACTTTGCCTTTTGAACTAAACCGGTGATGTCCACAATTGTGGACTGCTCCCTACCACACACGTTTTGCACACTCTGTTTCCGCATGAAAAGAAAGCAAAGCTAAAACCTAACCATCTCACATTAAGCATTACATTTAAAGAAAATAATACATTAACCATCATTAGATGATATTACTTAAATGAAACTTTTACCTTCCATTCAGGCTTCTCTCAACTTTCAAACATTTTACACCAAACATCTTTAGATACGTTTGATGAGCAGTTAATGTAACTCTCCCCAATAGTCTTGTACTTATGAAAAAACGAATTCCTCAATGTGCTCATCCAATCGGCATATCTTATTTTAATATATAGTTCGAAAGCAACCTTCACCTCTTCTTCAAGAACACGTCTATGTGCATCTAGTTCCCTTAAAATGAGCATACAATTCATCCATTTTCCTTTTTGGATAATCTTTATATGTAATCCAAGGCCCATTAATAACTTGATTAAAGAGCACCCCTATAGTTAGTATTTGTGGGTACAATCCTGTAAAAATAAAATTAGCTTAAACCAATAAACATATCTAAATAGTTAACTTTGACAATCATGGTTTCAATGACTTATGCTAATTACCTGCTATCATGTATTACAATTGGAGTGCCATTCCCATCTTTACCCTTAGCCTTCTGTCTACCTTTCATTTTGGTAGGACCTAATCAATAAAATAATAATGTGTGTGTATGTTTGATAAATAATCAATTAATAAAATGTCCATTTAAAACCGATATAAATAAGGTACCTTCCACACTTGAAGGTTGATTCTCACTAGATGTTTGTTGTGTCTCTTGTATTTCACTATCATGTGATGGTTAAGTAACATCATGTTGGTCTGAAGAGGGTGTAGGTGAATAAGTAGTCTATTTTGACTCATTCCTCTTGTTGTCATGGCTGCAATTTTAGAAAACACAAGGCTAAATAAGACATAATTATTAGAGAATTAGTTTCTTTAACATATGACAAAGTTCATAAAACAACCAACAACCTTTAAATCATGAAACTAAGCAATAGTGCGTATCTCATTGGGTATTTTAATGAAGCTATCACGTATTTCTGAGGTTAGATTATTGGGCTGCTATTAGTGTTGTTGAAATGCTTATGGCAAAGATTTCAATTACATTATTGGGAAACACTTTTGGTGTGTCACAACTTAGAAGAGTGTGATTGGCACAATGATAAGCATTGATGGTAGGACAAATGATTCTTTAAATGCTCGTCTTGATCTTCGCGAAATGGGAATAAGGGAAAGATATCTTCCTAAAGTAGGAGAGGACGGTAAGCTCGACTTTGACCCAGATGGCTATACATTGTCAAATGATGATAATAGAGCTTTACGTAAATGGTTATTTGAATTACAAGTCCCAAATGGATACTTTGGAAATTCATCTCAATGCGTGGCTGCTAGAGAACATAGTATTTCTGGTATGAAGACCATAATTGACACATTTTGTTAATTTGTTCATTAGGAGAGTATTGCATGCGCATTTTGATCGTGGCAATTCATGAATCACAAATTTCTGATAATGTTGATTATTAATTTGTTCATTAGGAGAGTATTGCATGCACATTTTGATCGTGGCAATTCATGAATCACAAATTTCTGATAGTATAAATTTTTAGGTACGTTACGTGGGAGCCAGTCGTACTCCACTACCAATAGTAGGCCACCCCGCACTATGGTAAGTGCGTCTGTGTGATTTGAGTAAGTCGGCAAGCTAATACCGCAACCTACATCAACTCGTGTTACAACAAAACTGAACAACATCCACTCAAGCTCATCCACCTTTCGATCCACCAACTTTGTTCAATCACAATTCCCAAACACAACAAACGCCTGGGTAGCATGCATGATCATTCAATTCTTTATATCATCCCATTCACACGCCGGTCCCAAAAATTCCTATATAAATAGCTCATCGTGTGTCCCTCTCGATCATATTCATAACAACCCAAACATTCTCGCTCTTTCTTAAGTTTGTTTCCTTAAATCGTTCACAGCTATTTTTTATCCTTTGGCTAGTTGAGCTACTTGAAGTACGTAGTACATTGACAATGGGTAAGTTCAGTTTTAGTTTCATGTCTTTTGCCCTAATTGCTTTGCTTGTTTCAAGTGCCTTTGTTATGTCTGAAAGCCGCGTGGCAAGAAAAGACCTGGGGATAGACCTCGGTGGGATTGGAATTGGTGTGGGTGCTGGAGTAGGTGTCGGGCTGGGTGGGAGTGGAGCAGGCTCCGGTGCTGGAGCGGGTTCGGGGTCTGGGGGTGGGTCTAGCTCTAGCTCAAGCTCAAGCTCAAGTTCATCGTCTTCTTCAAGATCCAGCGGGTCGGGCGGAGCAGGGTCTGAAGCAGGTTCATCTGCTGGGTCTTATGCAGGCTCTAGGGCTGGGTCTGGGTCAGGAAACCGAGGACGAGGCTAAGACGTCCTCCCATCCATGCGGGAAATCGTCACCTTGCTATTAGTTTTGGTTATTGAACAAAATTATGTGTAAAAAATATGAATAAATAATTGGCTATGGAAGAATTAAACTTAAATAGATGGTTGGTCACTGCTCAATGTTTCTCTGTAATATGATATGTACTTTCTTTGAGTGCTTGTCAATAAAAGAATTGCCTGGTAGTAAATTAATCTTAGTTTCAAATTAGGTGCCTTTTATTTACGTATATGGCTTCCATTTGGCATGACCTCAATTCGGAACTATCTCTATCATCTTCAGTTCTCGTCACGTTTGTATGGTTTAAACTACTTTACCATCAATTATTACAAGCAGGGTAAGGATATGCACATTAAAATTTTAAGAGTAATGTTAGGAGATTAAATGTATAGACAAAATTTAGCAAATTAAATGACATAGAAGTTGACTTAAGCGTTGATAAATGTGCTCATTTCTTATTGGTAACACATTATTTGGTTTGCAAATTTTGTTTACAAATTTAGTCTCTCTTGCATTATCCAATTTTTAAACCAAATTTTATAAACTAAATAATGTGGTTGTTGATGATTGGATTATTATATAAATGTTGATCAACAAACTTATTATCTATTTGTGATATTTTTTATTTACAAATTTAGTTTAAATGTAGTATATGTTAAATTAAAGGCAATATGCCTTTATATATTGTTATTTGGACAGTCTTTCTTTCTTTTAACTGCCGATTGCTGAATGCATGACAGACGGGACGGTTTGGGATTGTCTTGCCAATTGTCTCTTTGTCAGCCTAAACTTTCGAACTCCGTTTGTGATAATAGAATCCATTTCCCACAGTAATTAACTCATGTTTAAATCAGTAATTTAAAAAGACTAAATTTGTAGACTATATATATTTGTAAACTAAATAACATAGAAGTTGATGATTGAATTATTAGGAAAAAAAAAAAAAACATTGATGAACGTGCTCATTTTTTATTGGTGACACATCATTTAGTTTACAAATTTAGTCTCCTTAGCATTACTCTGTTTAAATTAATGGTAAAGCAAGTGCTCGGAATTCCGAGTTTCTAGCCGTAAAAGTTCAACAATATTCTTCCGTAATGGAGTGAGTACTAATATATTTTTAATGGTAAATTTAATATCATTGGACAACATAATACAGATGTGGCATTGCCTTAAACAAGTGAGTTCACGCAAGATTTTGTGTGGTGGTACTAGGCTTGGCAAACGGGTTCTGTTTGCCGTGTTTAGGGTTGTGTTTGCCTGTTTCGTGTCATTTTTGTGTAACACCTGTTATCTTAACGAGTCCTTAACAGGGTGGGTCACTTTACCCAGCAGGTAAAATGACTCGACCCGTTATGACTCGTTAAGAAAAATATTTTTTTTCCTTAAATTTGCACATACCACATTGCCACATAATTATATTACTTCAAAATATAAAAACACATTTTTCTTTAGGTACTACATCTACAATCCAAAATAAAAGCCTAATAAAAAAGCAGCAATACACTAATAGTCTACAACGAAATATCAAATGTGCAAGGATATGCAAAATGAAGGAGTTTTTCTTTTCAAGGTTGTGAAGCCTTTCTCAAAAGTTAAAACGTTGCCGATGAAACTCAAAGCTTGCATGTTATTCCTTTTACAAAATTCTTCAATTTTCATGGATCATCACGGGGAAATTGTATTAGAACTTTGGCTTGATCTATTGCCTTCAAGAGTTATGTTGATGATGTTTTCAGTAAGGTTTTCTACATCAGAACTCTCTTCCGCATAAACTAAGTATAGAAAAATCAAACATTATAAACCATTCAAATTAAGAGAAGTTTACCAAAATAATTATGAAAAGAAATAAACAATAGTATTATACCATATAAAAATATATTACCTCATTTTCTAAATTTTCTAAATTTAATTTAATATATATATATAGTTATATATATTTATATATATATATATATCACATCCCGGCCCGGGCCCCCACCACATTCCGGGCTCGACTCCACCATAGCATGATATTGTCCGATTTGGACCCCTACCGCACCATCATAGTTTTGTTTCTGGGAACTCACACGAGAACTTTCCAGTGGGTCACCCATCATGGGATTGCTGTCGCGCGCTACTCACTTAACTTCAGAGTTCCAATGAACTCTAAAGCCAATGAGTTCCCAAAAGGTCTCGTGTTAGGTAGAGATGAGAATATACATATAAGGCTTATAGGATCCACTCCCCTGAGTGATGTAGGATGTTACAATCCACCCCCTTGGGGGCCCGACATCCTCGTCGGCACACATCCGGCCAGGGATTGGCTTTGATACCAAATTGCCACATCCCGGCCCGGGCCTCCACCACATCCCGGGCTCAACTCCACCATAACACGATATTGTCCGTTTTGGGCCCCTACCACACCCTCGCGGTTTTGTTTCTGGGAATTCAAACAAGAAATTCCCATTGGGTCACCCATCATAGGATTGCTCTCGTGCGCTACTTACTTAACTTCGGAGTTCCGATGAACTCCGAAGCCAGTGAGCTCCCAAAAGGCCTCGTGTTAGGTAGAGATGGGAATATACATATAAGGCTTACAGGATTCACAACCCTGGGCGATGTGGGATGTTACATATATATATATATAAAATATTATATGATTACATATATAATTATTATAGTATTTTTAGGAGTATAAAATTATTAAATTAATATTTTGTTTATCGTGTATCGAGTTACCCACGTGTATGCCTGGACCAATCTGTTATCTTAATAGGTGCTTATCAGGTTACTCAATAGCTTATTAATTTTGTGTCGGGTTAACGGGTCATGTCAGAAATTCTCAAGTCTAGATGGCAATATCAACTAGACATCTAACTTTTCCACAAAATATAGTTATAATAAATTAATTGACTTTGGTCATGTATAAAGAAATAAAACTTCATAAAATTAATTAATAGAAAAAAAATTATCTAAACAATATCCATTATACTAAAACAAACACCAACAATTAATTCGGAAAATTGTTCAAAAATTAAAGCAAAAAGGCTACAAAATTTGTGTGACAACCCGTTCCAAATTTTACGTTTTTATTTTATTTTAAAAGCGTGAATTTACGAAAATGCCATAGAGGCCAATATTTTGACTTATGTTGACCATCGTCTAGAGAGACGTATGACTTATTCTTTTAACATATTCTCGTAGTACTCGTTAGTGGCAACGTATAGGCGAAATCCGTTTGCAAGTCCGGATTATAACGATATAGTGCACATGTTATATTGAGATGCATTGAGAGCTCATAAACCTGCACCCCGGTGTTAGTGCTCCTGCCCGTGGTCAGGGCATAGTCCTTCACGTGATGTTCACCTCCTGCACCTTACACTCACCTTGGACTCAAGGTATGTGCACAAGCCTGTCGTATAGACCACTATAGGTGGTTCCGACTCGTAGGTGACCCGCGATTATTCGCACAGTCTTCACGTGACCGTAGCACTTGGGCGTACTTATTTACACCCAGTCATGTTGTACAGACCACTAGAGGTGGTTCCAACTCGTGTGTAGGGATGTTTGATGAGCTATAGATTAAGTCGTACATGTCACTATAGGTGACTCCCGACTCGTATGCTAGTATTGATTAATAAGATATGGATAACTGCACCCCAGTGTTAGTGCTACCGCCCATGGTCAGGGCATAGTCCTTCACGTAATGTTCACCTTCTGCACCTTACACTCACCTTGGACTTAAGGTAGGTGCCCAGGCCTATCGTACATACCACTATAGGTGGTTCCGACTCCTAGGTGACCCGTGATTATTCGCACAGTCTTCACGTGATCATAGCACTTGAGCGTACTTATTTACACCCAGTCCTGTCATACAGACCACTAGAGGTAGTTCCGATTCGTGTGCAAGGATGATCGATGAGATATAAGTACAGTCGTACGGGTCACATTAGGTGATTTCAGCTGATGTATCATTTTATATTGATTAAGTTCATTTGGCCTACTTGTTAATGCATTGTAGAGTCTATGGACATGGCATACCCGTGGTTTTGGCCATTTTATAGCATGGGTGGATATATATATATATATGTGTGTGTAGTACTGTCCTATAGAAAACGATAAGGGAATTACAGTGAGGGGTTATTACTAATAGAAAGGTAATAGTTTTGGGAAGCTTGGTTTTACTGCTTACTCACACTTTTTGTTTTGTACCCCTTCAGGTTTTAACTGCTGAGTTCGTATCGACGAGGATATATGGCTAATCTTAGTATTGGTGGCTACTTTTAAGGGTATGATTCTTACCCACACTACTGTACTTTACTTATGCTCTGACATCACGTGTGAAATGGGTTCGCTCCCACTCGTAGCGCACTCTGGTATTTAGATACTTTTAGGTTCAAATTTATTGTTCTTTTATACACTATCACACTTTATGGCTTCGTCACCTTCTAGGTGTTAGCAAACACAGCTCGATTTGGGGTCCTAGTGGACATTCCGGGTTAGGGTGTGTCAATTTGGTATCAGAGCATAAGTTGGGCAATATTGTGTTCATCACACGCATGATGTGAGCATTCTTGGTTCTTGTGTTTAACGTTCGAATGATGCCACCTCGTCAAATATGGAAAAATATGCAACTTTTCTTAAGTTTTGGACAGTTATGTTGTCTTCACGACATTTTAGATGATCATTTTGGCAATGTCCTTAGAATTAAAACGAAGTTTTCCCTTGAGGGGGAAATGTGTAGATTTGAGGCAAGTTGATGGCCTAAGTTAATGCATTGATAATCGTGTATCCCTAGAGATTTTACCAAATAATTCCATCATCATTTTTCCATTGTTAGAATTGATCCTTTTGAGATTGGAAATCTCAGCTAGTTTTGATTTCTTGGTAGTATTGTTAGAATATCTCTTAATAGAAATCTTGCGAAGTCCCCTTTTTGTTAGGACTCTGGAAATGTCTCATGTGGCAATGTGGTGCTAAAGTAGTAACACTCTACGGAAGAACATGTTGGGAAATTTCTTTTGGTCCCTGGTAGTTTAATATTTTGTGACATTACTTTTCGATCATCAAGAAATCTTGTTAGATTATTTTTAAATTTTACCTCTCTATTTTTTTGGCTTGGGATAACGTTGGAATTGTTCAGTTTTTTTTTTTAACATAACTCATCACTTTTGGAATCGTTTGACTTTTTAATATTAATCTACATCAGCTTTGTTCGTACCCTT